GGTTGTTAACTGTTTCTATACTGTAGCATTGAATTTTTGCTGTTCGTATTTGTTGTGAACTGCTGTGAGTCGCCTTCGGGCTGAGAACAGCGGTTTATAAGTAAGGTAAATAAATAAATTGTAGCCCAATGCTTCTGGAGGGTACCATGTTGAACAAGACTTTAGTACATTGAAACTTTACTCTCCAAAGCAAGAGAAATCACGTTGTCAAAGGCTTTCATGGCCGGAATCACGGGGTTGCTATGAGTTTTCCAGGCTATATGGCCATGTTCCAGAAACATTCTCTCCTGAGGTTTCACCCACATCTATGGCAGGCACCCTCAGAGGTTGTGAGGTCTGTTGGAAAATAGGCTAGTGGGGTATATATATTTGTGGAATGTCCAGGGTGGGAGAAAGAACTCTTGTTTGTTGGAGGCAAATGTGAATGTTGAAATTGTCCACCTTGATTAGCATTGAATAGCCTTGCAGCTTCAAAGCCGGGCTGTTTCTTGCCTGGGGGAATCCTTTGTTGAGAAATTGTTTTGGTAAGTTCATCTCTGATTCCACCATGTTGATGTTGTGTAGAACACCCTCCGTAGTAACTACATAATGGGTTCATAAATGGAATGGTGCATTTGCCATTGTTTCATTTTAGCAAAATTTCTGTGATCCAAACCCCAGAAATGCTTGCTATAACTGGTGTTGAATACATGTAATTACACTCTTTTTATTAGGTTAAAAAAAATATATTTTTAAAGCTGTAGATACAATAATTTCTGTGCTTGAGTTTCCCAAGACGTGAAGGTTGTTTCAGAATCTCCCCATACTAAAAGGTTTGAGAAGCACATTTGTACTGTATTTCCTGTCCCTTCTGATTTTTTTAATGCCTGTACCTTTAGACTGGAAGGGTAATTTGCTGCAAAGTGATGAACACCATCTATTTTTCCCTACTTTAGCAATTGCTGGGGCTGAGCCGAGCCAGTGTGGTATAGTCATTTAAGTGTTGGTCTAGGACCAGGGTTCAAACCCCATATCAGCCTTGGAAACACATTGGGTGACCTTGGGTCAATCACACTCTCTCGCCTTTACCAGAAGACAATGCCAAGCCTCTGAAGAACTCTTGCCTAGAAAGCCCCGTGCTAAGACTGCTAGTATTTAGGCATATAACAATAACAGAATTTGCTAGTTGATAACCAACCACAATTTTCAAGTCTGAATACTGGCCCTTTGTCCCTTCTCCACACTCAAGAAGCCCTTGCACCCAAAGCACCAAAGTTCAATCAGCCTTGTGGGATTGGGAGATGCGCTCAGCATCTCAAGTGTTTGCTATCTTGTTCAGATTAATACCGAGAGGCGTCTGTCTCTCCGTATGTGAGAGATGGATATGGTTTCCATGACAGCAGTGACCAAGCCAGCAAGTGTGCCTGGGAAAGATTTGAGGAGCCCTCTGCTCTCACTGATCAGGAGTGACAGGCAGCAGCGACAGAACAGCAGGATCCTGGCAGTGAGCGGAGTGTGTACGTCTTGCCTCTGTCAGCTGGGTGTGGGCATCTTTCATTTCTGGATCTGCTGACAGCATTCTCTTCATATTTGTGTTCCACTTCTCCTTTTAACCTTTAAAAGGCTTGCCATCTTTTACATCAGAATGCACACATTTCTCCTTTTCAACATGTAGAATTGTTTTCTGAGTCTCTGCCTCTGGAGTTCGTATTCATTGCTGGACACTCAGCTAGAGACAGAGTTGGAGGCAACCTGGCATTCTCCAAATATTTTGGATACAATATTCAGAATCTCTTACCAATGGCCATGCTAGATGAAGTTTTTGAGAGTTGTAGTGCCAAACTTCTGGAAGATACCAGCTTACCCTACTTTGATTTATGAGATCTGCACATCTACTGCATCTGAGGGCCCTTCCACACAGCTCTTTATCCCAGAATATCAAGGCAGAAAATGCCACATTATCTGAGTGTGGACTCAGATAACCCAGTTCAAAGCAGGTATTATGGAATTTTCTGTCTCAATATTCTAGGATATATAGGGCCTTGTGGAAGGGCCCTGAGACTCCCCCAGGAACAAAAAAAAAGCCCCATAAAGATACTGCATCCCAGTAAATAAACTTCTTGTTTTCTAATGCTCTTTCTTTCCCCCACAGTGTCCTTTCCTCCAGGCGCTATTACTTTGAACTCCTTCACAAGCAGGATGACCGTGGGTCAGATCACGTGGAAGTTGGTGTAAGTATAAACCCCCATTACACTTTTTCCCATTTCAGGTACAGTCACCTAACAGAAAAATTAAAAGCAGGGGAGTGGGAGGGCTGGAAAAGAGAAAGCACCCCTGGACATTTGTTTCTTGGTCTCTTGACTATAAATCATGATAGCAAATATCATCTTGCTGTCCTTTGATGAGACTTTCACAGCCCAAACAGCAGAATTTCTGCTTCGATCCCCATTAACTTGTGCCTCAACTGCAGGCTACCATTCGAATCAAAGAAAGGTACCTGCCTGTGGGTGAGGAGAAGGAGCTGGTTAAAGGTCTGTGTTTGTCAGATTAAGGCAGCAGAAGGATACATGCTTTTTTCTAACCTCCTTAATCAGTTTTACAATAAAGTTGAGGTCAAGGGAGGAAGGTGGAGTGGGGGGGGGGGTGGAGAGACAGGCAGAGATTGCTCCCCAGGCCCTTTCTCTTCTGCTGCAGAGATGGAGAATGTCTTTTCTCCTCAAAATTAATTGTGTCCTTCTCTGGGGAAAGAGTACAAGAGTGTTTGAGAGGGATTTCCTAGCTGGTAATTTCTTAAACTCTTTTATTCTCAAGATGAAAAGTCTCCAATCGCCTAGAAACTTTAAAATAGCTTCATTTTCATGCCTCTCTGAGGAGCTGTGTTCCCTTTACAGAAGCCTTCGGTGCACTGCAGGCTGCTGGAGGTGAAATATTAGTCTTTTAAAAGAGGCTCTATTCATCCCACTTTTAAATTAAAAGGAAGAAGCACCACTCAGTGTAAATGTTCTCCCCTCCCAAAGACTGGCTGTCCCTGCTGTGAAGTATCTGCCAAAGGATTCTAGGTCATTCCAGCAGGTGTAACACCCAGAGTGAATGCGGGAAATACAAAAAGTGCCGCATGGGATTATCTTTGCTTTGAAATTGTATGCACCAATGGCCTGGGTGAGGGGTGAGGGGCAGGAAATGCATATGCAGGCAAGGTTGTTCTCTCTGATCAGCAGCTACTTTAGTATGCCTGTGGAAATACTAAATTTGCAGAATGAACAGCTTGTATAGGCCTGTTTAAAAGCAAGCATATAAAACAGAGAGACAGACGTTGGCACATAATTGCTTTTGTCACTTTGCAGACTGTCCAAAAGCTCCTTGGTCATTACATCCATCTTCTAAGCATCAGGATTAACAGTACTAAATCTATAGAGTGAGACAAGGGAACAGCCTGTATTATGTGACTAGTGCTGTTTTGGATCCAGACATTACAAATGGTTATAGAGTAGCGCAGTTGCCCAACTCAGCTCCACAAATAGTATTAATGGGATCTTTTGCCTTTTGCTAAAACCCTCCTCAGAAAATTGGCTTTCTTTCTTATGGTACAGGTAGACATAATAAATATAAATGTGAAGTGGTCTGCTTGGGATTGCTGCCCTGTAGCACGTCATTTTAAATCAAACCTTTTCCTTTGCTGAGTTGGGAGAGGCAGGAAGCTGAATCAATCAGCAGCTGTCTCTGGAGGCTCATAAGCACAGAGGAGATCTAGAGTTGTGAAAAGGCTTCACCTTCCCTTCCTTATTTTCTACATTGGTTGTATTCACCTTCAGAAACAGAGTCCGATTGGCTCCTTAGAACTGCAGCTATCCCTGGTTGTGATTGGCTGGAGCCATTGATGTTATAGAACCATATTCTAAGTTCTAAGTTGGGGGGGTTTTCCCCCCAACTATTTTATACCCACCTCTGAAAATAGTAGGTGTGCTTGCACTGAATTCAAGAAACATGCATGGGAAGAAGGGAAGCAAATGGCACAAGTATTAAGGCAAGGGTGGTACAGTTGGTTGAAGTTCTGTTTGGTCTTATGATTTTAATATGTGGTATCTCCATTTTAGAATTGGGAGGAAACTAGGTTCGGTCTCTCAGCAGAAAGGATGCTGTAGCTCCTGTTCTTTTTATTACATCTCTCAGCATCTTAAGCTTATGTGTATGTCTTCAAATTACCTGTTGACTTATGATGACCCCATTAATTTAATGGGATTTTCTTAGGCTAGCAATACTCAGAGGCAATTTGACACATTCCTTACTTTGAAATATAGCCAACAGCACCCGGTATTCTGTGTTGGTCTCCAATCTAATTATTAGCCATTTTAAATAGGGGGCATGCCATAGTTTCTTGCTCAACAGGAAAAAAAACAAGGGTTCTTCTGAAAGTTAGAGAGTATTACCAGAACTCCCCTTTCCTACAAATGTGCAACTGGCGGCGGTGGTCTAAGGTCCTTCTTGGACTCACTTCTTCTTGGCCGCCACCTTGGTCGTCTTGGCCTTGGGGCTCTTGGCCAGCTTGGGCTTGGCTTTGGGGCTCTTGGCCTTCTGGGGGGACTTGGCCTTCTTGGGGCTCTTAGAGGGCTTCAACACGTGTTGATAAAAACTTGCAAGCATTCTTCCCAGATTTTCCATTCTGTAGATCTCATGGATCCAGTACATTTGAAATAAAATCCTACACCAGTATAGTGTATGAGGTATAAATCTTATTCACAGCAAAGTGGATTTAGGTGTATTCCTGGTGTATGAAATTATCTAACCTGCAAAGAACTTATAAACATGCTAAAAACTTGCTTGTAAAAGAAATGGGTATGCAGACTTTACTAGGGCTTTGCTGGGAAGAGGATCTCATTTGATGTTGCCATATTGTTTGAAAAACTACAGGTGTCACGATGCCAGGGCTCTGCCGAGACGCAGGCAGAGATGAACCAAAACAACACTTAGTTTATATCAAACTGTTTAATTAAAGTAGCACTTACTTTCTGGCTGTTTTCATAGTCCAAAATATAAAACATAAAAATAGCACTCAGCCACAGAATCATAAAACAAAGCCTGCTAGCAAACGCTGATGCAAATTCAAGAGAACACCATAACCAAAATGTCCAGTCCAGTAGTCAAAATGCTGAGAGTTCAATGAGTAAAGTCCAGGGATCAAGAGTCTATACCATAGTCAAAAGCCAGTCCAGAGATTCAAGGCTCCAGGGTTCAGGAAACAAAAATCCACAAACCTGGGGGAAAACCAGCAGCATCTAATACCAAAATAAGACAAATTCTTTTCTCCCAAAGATCAGTCCCAAGGCTAGTTCCTTATATCCTGTAACACCCAGCTGCAACTTATCTCTTGCATCCCACCACCCTTAATTGCTTTCACCCATAAACTACTCAACCTTTTAGAACTAAGACTTACATTAACCCTTCCATCACCAATTGCTAAGCCTGCCACCACCAACCACCATCAACTGTAGAACGTGGTACATGACATCAGATGTGGTTCATGTCAGGAAAAGTTTGATATAAATCACCGTTCTTATCTCAGCTGCTTCGACCTTGAAAGTTCTTCTTGAAGGCACAAAGTTGTAAAAACACCAGACTCATCAATTCAGCTTTCAACTAAAACGGCACTTTATCTTTTATTTACAAAATATACACTACAATCTCAGATCACATCCATTCACATCTTGGCACAATTCACAAAGTGCATTGCAAGCTTCTTTTCTGGTTTGCTTAGGAAACTTCAAAAGTGAAACTCTACCAATTCTGCCTATCTCTATTAACCCATGCATTTCTGAAACCATACAGTTTAAACTATAAGGAATTTTCATACTAGAAAAACATTACATACTGACAGTTCAGTGGGGAGCACTGTTAAAGAAGAAAAGCAATTGGGGAGGGAAGTGCAGTAACATGCCAGGAACTTGGTGGTGTTTTGATAGCTTATATTGTGTAACCCTGATTATATCAATCTAAATACTTTCTTTAATGTTGTGGAAGGAGGTATCTAGTATCTTCTTGTGTATCACTTTTTTGTCAGTGTACACAAACAAATCATGAGCTTCTGGGTACAATTCCCAGCCATGGATTATCCTCAGGGATGTGTCGAGGAGCAGCAAGTTTTTGCTTGAAACTCGGAGAGACATTTGACATGCAAAAAATTATTAGGAATATTAGTACATGTCTTTTGGTACCATATTTGTGTTGCTCCCCATTCACATTTCTACCACCAGTTTCTCCCTAAATTTCATAAACCCACATGATGAAGTACTCAAGAACTTGATTGACTTGTCACTTTCCTGTCTCTTTCAGTGGCGAGTTTTCCTTCCCAGCTTCAAGTTTGAGGTGGTTGATTCTCCCTACATCTCACTTTATACAGGTAAAGCCTTCCTTGAAAATCTGTGTTGTCTTAGTTTCATGCACAATATCCTTGCATCAAAAATGGTTGCCCAGAAATGTATGTACTTAATGTGTCTGTAAAGGAGTGAACATTCATACATGAGAAACCATTTGTGCACATTACCTGCATTATTTTGTGTGGTTCAGTTCCCTTATCTGTACCAAGCCGTTTTGGTTTCATACCTGAAATTGTGCCAAGTGTGTTTCAAGAAATGTACTTGAACCTCAAATGCAAAGGACCTTTGTTACCCGCACGTACCTATCCCCCACCCCACCCCACCCCCAATTATCCCTTGCTTCAGAAACAGGAAAATTGAATACACCCATCACCTTCATTCTGTATTGTTTCTCCAATTAAGGAACCTCTTTCTAATTATGTTGATATTTTTTTAGAAGCCAAGCAAAATCTGAACTTTTCACAATTAGTAGTTTCAAGAATTGTTGTTTTTAATGTGATGGATAAATCAATTTTCTCTTTTACTGTTCTTCAGCTTGATTGACCTTACCATTTGCTGATTTTAAACTACTGTTTTATTTGATAGATTACATTTTGCTATTTTCATCATTAATTCGGTTTTAGACTCTCTTGCCTCTTATTTTATTAATTGTATAGCTACTTTGATAAAATTATTATTTCATAATATAGTTCTCTGTGGAGTGTTTAGACTTCATTGAAGGCCATTTTTGAAAAAAAATATGGGGCTAATTCCTTTGGAGAAGTTGCTAGAACTGAATAAACTGCTCCTTGGCCTTCCTCCCTCAGAGAGACCTTTTTCAGAGCACTGCTGTCTGCTTTTATTAACCCTAAAGTGTTGCCCTCTGACATCTTCACCAGCTGGATGGTAGCTTTTCTTCCTGAGTAGATCTCCAGCTGACCTCCCCAAGGCCCTGCTGGCTGCCACAGCTCACATGAGAGATGGGCAGCCAATCTGACAGTTGCCCTTCCTGGGCATTTCTGGGGGTGCCAGAGTTTGAATTTTAGACTGCAAGCCTCTCACAAAAAGATATCACCAGCTGCTTGAGAAATTGATACTACACTTAGGCATTACTAGCCTTACAGGCACAGAGTCAGTTATTGCAATCCGGAATGAAGTCTTGTTTTTGCAACTGAAATGTGAGGATGCAATAACACCAAGAGGCAGAGCGGAACTGATAAACCAAGGGATCTATTTACCTTTTTATAAACAGAATGACTAAGGCTGCTGTTCTGGGCATGCACATACCTAGGGCCCCACTAAGGAAAGGGGAAATGTCTTTGGAGTACAGGCAGTCCCCAAGTTACGAACAAGATAGGTTCTGTAGGTTTGTTCTTAAGTTGGTGCTCATCTCCATGTCTAAGCCGAAGACTCAGTGTTTTCTGTAGACACCTTCAAGGTCAAGTGGCCAGCATGACTGCATGGAGTGTTGTTACCTTCCTGCAGAAGCGGTACCTATTGATCTACTCACATTTGCATGTTTTTGAACTGCTAGGTTGGCAGAAGCTGGACCTAGCAGCTGGAGCGCACTCTGATCTCCAGATTTGAACCACCAACCTTTCAGTCAACAAGTTCAGCAGCTCATCAGTTTAACCCGCTGCACCACCAAGAGCACATTTTTTTAGTGTAACTCCAGCCAAAAATACATATTTTTAGCTTTGGAAAGCATAGGGAAGGGTTAACACCCTGTGGTGTTTGCTTTGCTGTCCGTGCCCCGTTCAGAAGATTTTGAAAAATATGGCTTGTTGTAGAAACAAGGCTTGGCGCTAAAGCTTTCCCTAATGATAACTCGTTCAGGAGTGAATTTCTCTTCTGAAGGGTAGATTTCTCTCATTTCCTGTTGTCTCACCCCTGTTCTTAACTCTGAGTCATGTGTAAGTCAGATGTTTGTAACTTGGGGACTGCCCATAAACATGTTTAGAGCTGAGGTGTGAACGTGCTCTTCTTTGGTTCTATAAAAGGCAAACTAATAATTTGTCTATCAGGATTGTCTTCGGGACCCTGTGAATCTCCCAAAGCCTGTCTTACCCAACATTATTCCTTCACATTGGACAACCAAATGCCAATGGGAAGTACACAAGTAGAACATGGGCACCCCCTTTGCTTCTCTTCCCCAACAATTGGCATTGGGAGTAATACTGCCTTCAAAATTTGGAAATATTAGTGCTGTTGTTGAAGCACTAACCTTCAATTGTTTAAAGACAGGATTATTTGTTGATGTTAAACCTTTGAGAAAATCTTATAAGATTGATTCATTGATTAGTTCAGTAATAACATTTTAAATTACTAAAAAGGGCTGGTAACAAACTAAAATGTCACATTACATTAATTGTTACTCAGAAGTAATGTTGCCGCTATTTAGCACAAAATAACAAAAAGTATTGTTGAAATATGTTATGAATTGGGAATAGCAAATTAATTTTAAAGAGTATTTCTTACTTTGTAGCTATCAAAACTAGTAGACATCAGTGAACCTTATTCTCCCTGAATTTTCCTAATCCTCTTTTAAAGGAATCCAAGTGCCCTTCCACCCAGCCTTATATCCCAGAACATTAAGGCAGAAAATCCCACAACATCTTCTTTGAACTCATAGGTTATCTAAGTCCAAACTCAGATAATGTGGGATTTTCTGCCTTGATATTCTGGGATACAGGGCTGTGCGGAAGGGCCCCCAGTTGGTAGCCATCATTCAGTGATTAAATTTTACCTGACAACCCTTTTGCACACAGCATCTCTAGTTTTCTCCACGCCTGTAGGGTGGGAGATATACTGAGTGAAATAATCTCAGATGGACCAGACACCTAAACCATGAAAGGGATGTAGTCCTGACCTCTGGGACCCCTTCCACACAGCTGAATAAAATCCCACATTTTCTGCTTGGACCTGGAACATATGGCAGTGTGGACGCAGATAACCCAGTTCAAAGGAGATATTCTGGGATTTTCTGCCTTGATAGTCTGGGTTATATGGCTGTGTGGAAAGGCCCTGGGCAAACACATACAAGAAGCTAAAAATAAAAGAGCAGGTTGTCATGTCCACAAAAAAGGCAAATTGACTTTATAAATACGCATCTGCAGATTTTTGCTGATACTCTGTATAAGTGTCCGGCCTCTTTTTTTCCCAATAAGTCCTGCTGCCCTTTCAGCTTGTGGCCTCCTTGATTTTGGAACAAAAAAGAAGAGACCAGCCCAAAAGCACCTCAGGCAAAGGCCCGTCAGCTAATGTTCTTAAAGCTGAGTTATGAACACCTGTCTTGTAAGCAGGGATGGATAGTGTCGAATTTAATTAAATCCATAGATCTTCTGCTTCCTTCCTCATAACCTGGCCTGGCAGCAGGAGGTGCTTGATGAATAGATATCTGCCTGGTGCTCAATACACAAGGTGCCCATAATTAAGTATCTTGTGGAAGGTGGAGATAAGGTGGAGGGGTTGGGTGAGGCAGCCTCTCCCATGCACAAGCACAGGGCTCAAATGGCACAAGAGGGATAGTAGCAATTGGGATATTGACAGAAGTGCCTGCAAGATAGATGAGCTGTGAGGGGATATTTCCTTCTGGATACATCAGTCACTCTCAGTTTTCTCTTCTGGCCTCTGAGCAGCGGCTTGCACAGCACAAGGGGCGATTTTCTTATTACTCCACTCTCTACCAGCATTCTTCTTTGTGCTGAGAGATAGTTATTCAACATGACCAATAGTACAAGATGCTCTGTCATCTTTTGGAGTTTTTCAAGTTCTGTTCTCTGTCTTCAAAACTTGGAAAAGTTTCTCATTGGGCTATAACTCCCAGATTTCTCCTAGCCATCATGGGCATATTGACAATGAGTTTTTAGGAGTTTCTCTAAAAGAAGCGCCGGGGCCCTTATATATTTAGCTGTTGTACAGATTGGAATAAATACAATTGTTAATCACCATCAGAGGAGATTCGTTGAATTAATAGGTCCTATTAAATTTTCATTTATTCAATGGAGCAGTTTTAGCTTAGATCAACAATTGGATTTAGCCCATAATTATTAGCATGTTTAATCTTTACATTGTCATCATAATTCATTATCAAAGGATGCTCTTTAGCTGTATTCACCAATGTAGAAGATGTGACCACTAAGGCCTGGGTGACATTCATGTTGATGCAAGTAGTAATCTAAGATGTATCTTGTTTGTCAATGTTTTGTTTTATTGCGGGAGTCATATTTTCGTTTTTCTACAGTAATTTATAATGCGGTTTTAAATATAAAAATGTAATGGCACAACTGACAGTGATTTTCAAGCAGAATGATCTAAAATTAGAAATGGTTCAGGAGCAATTTGGCACCTAGTGACCCCAAAGTGTAAATGAAATAAATGAGTTTTTGTTAGCTTTCAAAAACATGTGATGAGGTTAAGTGAGGGCATTCAATATTGTTGAGGCAGCTACTGAGAAAGGGTGCGGTGCTAACAGATGTGAGTTTGCATTACTAAAATATGAAATAATGGGTAAGGTCCCTCCAATCAGCCAGCTGATCATAAAACTTGATTATCACATGGGAAACGGTGTTCCTTGAGATAGTCTAGGGCAGGCCTGGACAACATGTGGCCGTTCAAGTGTTTTGGACCTCAGCTCCCAGCATTCCTAACCATTGGATAAGTTGGCAAGGGCTTCTGAGAGTTGGAGTCCCAAATACTTGGAGGACCACAGGTATTGCAGGCCTGGAATAGACCTAGACTGTTTCAAGAATAGTGCACCCTGTAGACCATATGTGCCCTCAAGGTCATTGTGAAGTGTTTTTGCTGAGCCTACTGTCACTTTCAGTTTTGGAAAGAAGACCTACACCAGTTGGCCAATTCGGGTCAGTGATTTTTCTTCAGGGAGAGTGGACATGGAGTGGTTGAAATTAAGGATATGGTACAGATGCTGTGTTCTGAGGTCCAGGATGAAATTATTCCCTTATATGTTGTCCACTACAAAGCTAGACAGTTTAGGGCTTTGTCGTCCAAAACCAGGGCCAGGAATTGAGTCTGGAAACATATT